GACCTCCTCCTTGATGGTTGTTTGGAGGGAAGAACCTTTTAGGGGGGACCGGATGGGTTAAGCTTTGGAGTGTCTTGAGCTGTAATCATTAGCTGTCAGTGAAGGCAGTAAAGGAAAGAATGTTTATTTGCGGCTTTTTGCTTTGAGACTTTTGTACTTGTTCTTTTAGGAGTGCTGTAATCTTAACTATTCACTGGGGGGGGGCAGGGGGGTGGCACTTCTGATGGGCTGAGACGATACAAAGGATATTTTAATGATCATGGTACTTGGCTAGGGCTCTGTTCCCAGGGCGGTCGTGATCTCTGAGTTGGAGCAAAATCACGTTGAAAAACTGTCTTTAATTTTACAAAAAGTGGAAGCTCATCAACAGAGGTACGATAAATATTTGGGAGGTGCTCTGATGCTTTTTGAGTCTATATAAAAAAAAAAAAAAGGGATACCCAAGGTAAAAGGGAAATGAATCTGCAGCCCCTCTCCCGCTCTGAAAGCAAAGAGGCAAATGACAAAGCAGAGCTCGGATAATGTGATGGCATGCCAGCTTTTGACTAAAGCCTGTTCTTGCTAACATATCCAAGATCAATTTATTCTATGTTGTTCGCTAGGAAAGGCATTTTATAACCAATTTTTAGGCCACATTTTGATTTCTATTCATCCGTCATTTACGTTTATTAGACTTTGAGGGACCCTCTACAGCTGCTGTTTTAACTCCAGCGTAAGCACACGCATGCAGAGCTCGCTAATGATTTGGTTAATGACAACGGTTGTAGCAAAAGAGGAAAATGACAATGAAGTGTATTTTGCAAGTACTTTTCTTCTTAGAATTCATGTGTTTTAGTAGACATTGACCCCTTCCAAGCGTGTGTGGATTCTTCAGGACTTTTCCAAGAGAGAGTCTGAAGACCCTTCATGTTGGTAGCGTGTTCTTGCTTGTTAATGGGAGAGAATTCTATCATATGTGTCTGCTCGGAGGTCTGCTTTCCTGGTTTGGGGAGTTGGGACCCAAGCCCTTGGCTCCCAGGTGAGCTTACGATACTGGTTTTGATGTAAACCAGGTGTGGTTACCACCCTTTATTATTAGAGATAGAGTTAGTACAAGAAATGGCTTCTTTAGTGACGTTAGTATCCCCCAAGCAAACAGCAGGAATCAGTGTGGTCTGAAGCCGTTTGATGCTTCAACCTATTTTCAGCAAATCTAATGGCTTGGGCTAGAAGCCTGCGGCGTCTGTTCCCATACAACAATGCAACTACACCAGGAAATCAAGCTGCTGGATATGAATTGTGGAAAAGACTGCTGTGCAGCTGCTTGATGTTGCGCATTGAATGAGGCATGTGGGATGCATTCATGTAAATACTGAATGTACTGTAAGGCTCTGTGTGGTTTGCTGGAGAGTCTCTTTTGCCACATTTTGAGTCTTCATCTTGAAATGCAGAATAGAAGATAATACCAGGAAATGTCATATCGATATTTGTAATACGCTAGTAGTATGCAGTATTTGCAAATCCAGGAGAGAGGAGAGAAAAAAAAAAAAAAAGGGAAGAGATTCCTTCCATTCTGTACTGCAAATGCAGAGTGTTTGCTGTGCTGCTTCAGCAGGTGGAACAAAACCAGTGAGGCGCAGATGATCCCCAACATGCATACAAACTCCGGATTTCTTCAATGAAAGTGCCCTTGGAAAAGTTCAAAAGCCTGGGATATCTTCCCTTTCAGCCCCTGCAATATGCATATTGAAAAGGATTTTACAAAACGAGTCATCCTTTTACCGTTGCGTTTAATCTTTTCTCAGTGCTCGCAGAGATCCTGTGAGTTCAGAAGTTGTTCCTTCTCTAAATAAAGGATTATGCTTTTCTTAATATTGATACTTACAGTTCAGTTGCTTCCCAAAGGAGATAGGATCTGAATTTCTGCGAAAACAGAATAGTGGGTAGAGCTTGTGAATCTGTTTTCCTAGGAAGACTCGAACAGCTTTAACCAGACAATTGTCAGTCAGTATCCTTGTCTGTGCTTTGCTTTTTGCAGGGAAAAGCCGTGCCCCAGTTCCTGATGCTTTAGGCACAAATAATTTTAATTTCTCTCTCTCTGATCTCATGATGAAAAACTGTGAGCGCAGCACTTACTCAGTGGTTTATTTGGGATTTTCAGGAGTGACTGTTTGAATCCTCTGACTTAGCGTGCTTGCCAAACTCCTTCCGTTTTCCCAAAGTCTTTCTTGTTTTTAGGAGGAGCCGAAAAAGGTTTGTTTCACGTACGACCTGTTCTTAAATTTGGAGGGAAATCCACCCGTGAACCACCTTCGTTGTGAGAAACTGACTTTCAACAACCCCACCAAGGAATTCAGACGCAAGCTCATTAGGGCTGGAGGGGTAAGTGCCAAAGTGACTGGAGACCTTGAAAAGGTTCCACTGAAATGTGTAGTGATCTTGTTTTGCTCTGGGCTTTCTTTTTTAGCTGCAGCCCAACACGCTACAGTTTTCTACGTTCATCTGAAGGATGACCCAGCCAATTTTTACTCCTGGTTATATGACTGCAGCACTTGAAGCAGAACTAAACCATTGCTGATGTGATTGGGCACTTCATTTTCAATTTAAATGTGACCATTAATATCAAAGCAGTAAAACCCCTCTGGAAATGGAGATCTGTGGATGTCCATCAGGCAGTTACAGTTATCTGTGACCTTCCTAATGCCATGAGCTGTATCAGTATAGAAAAGCTCAAGAAAAGGGAGAGGCTTCCAGTCTGTTCCTTCCTCATTTTTGCCACAGGAAAGCTTAATACTTGGTGCTTCCTGGTCAATAAATGTCCTCTAAACCTGAGGTCAGTTGCTTATGGCTTAGAAAATAAAAAAAAAATCAAGGAAAAGTGTTAGATACAGAGTGAAAATGGTCGTGGGAGGAAAACAATACGTACACTCTTGAAGGCACAATAAGATACGGGTTGCTAGAGTGGATGAACTCTTCTAGGAAAGTAATATGCAGCGATAGCCTAAAGAAATGATCCTCAAATAACTGCAAGATCTAGGAAATTAGTACAAGCCAAAAAGTGCATGAAGTTTTTAACCAGACAGAGGATGTTATGACTGTATTTGGAGACACCCCCACGTATTATAATGTACAATTGTTTTCTGTTCAAGGACTTTTATTCAAGATGGTCTTAATTGCGGGCAAAATTTTCTTCTAATAAAGCATGTTTCTAGCCTGAAAAAGTAAAAAAAGTTGTGGGGAAGTTTGTCAATAGTTAATCTCGGGGGTGGCAGGTGTTCCAAGCTGATCTGTCCAGATCTTCCTTGGCGTGCCAGTACTTTTCTGTATTGGACAGAAAGAGGAAGGGGCTTTTTTTCAGGCATAGGGTGGCTAGAACATCGTTTGCCTTCTAGGATTTTCGTAGTACGTTATCGTATTCTTTATGTATTGAGGTGTTTCATCTGTGAATCGCTTTTGGTGCTGTTCATCTAGTAAAAACTTTTGACGGTATTATTCTGACCATATAGTAAGAAGGAAGGGTTTCATGGAGCTCAGTGCTTGGTGCCTGTCAAGGGAGACACCCAAGGCCTGCATTTTTTTTTTTTTTTTTTTTTTTTTCTTTCCCCCCTGAATGAGTGAATTCAGCTTCTCCTAAACTGATGAAGTCTTGCTCATTCCTTCCAGATTTATCTTGCTACCCTTTTGCAGGGTAAGAGCATTTGCAGCAGAACACACAGTTCTTGTGCAGAGCTTTATTGCCTGCTTGTGCTCAGAACACTGGCATTCCCTTTGGGAAAGATACTTGATATTTCATGTTGCCTTTCTATTTTTTTTTTTGTGGTTTTAATGTTCTGTATTTGAGGACTTGCCTTGAAACTGAGCATTACCTAGCCTATATTTTTTAATGGCCTTTTAAGCAGGGGAAAAAAAACATTCAAAACATGAATAATAGTGTGTTAATTGAGCAAGTGACTTAACGTAATCATGTCTTAATAATCCACACGACCTTTTCTATAAATTTTTCTCCTCTTTATTACTAGGTAATGGTAATGCCAGAAGGAGCAGAAACTGTTTCAAGGCCAAGTCCCGATTATCCTATGTTACCCACAATACCACTCTCTGCCTTCTCTGATCCCAAGAAGACCAAACCATCCCATGGGTCAAAGGTTGGTGAAGCATGCTTTTGTGTCATCCTGAGGTGAAGAAGGCTCTCAGGACTTGCTACTAAGAGCTTGTTTAGCAGCTGGCTACTTCTAATTCCGCAACCTTCTTCCTTGTACTCTGTGGTTCGTTAGCTAATGGTCTGGAACTTAGCATAATTTAGGAGGCCTTTTTATGATTTGCTAGACTTCTCTCCGGGGAAATTTTGAACAGAAAATTAAATGTCCAAGACTGGAATTTCTGGTGAACCATATCTTCCTCCTGATCTGCTATAGCAGATAAAGTTGAAAGAAATCCTCCCTGACTTGTATCCTTGATGCTGAGTTTGAATGATGTGGATCTTTCACCGTCTGTTGTGTAAAGCTGTATCCCAGGTCCTTGCATCTCTTAGCAGCGAGGCTGAGTTGAGAGTCGGCACTCCCTCTGTCATCAGGACTGCTTAGGGTGGTGCTGTAAAGAACATAAAATATGCTGCGCTTGGTCAAACTGGTGATTTCAAGATTTGATGTTTGCCTCCAGCAGTATGTAGTTCTTGAAACTTCAGAAGAACCTTAAGTTTTCTTTTTTTCCACTTATGTGATGAAGTTATTTTTGTATAGTTCTATACAGGAGAAACAATCCACAAGCAACGTGTTTTGAAGCAGGTTATGTACACTTTATCAGCCTGAGCAGTCACAAATATTAACAGCAATTCATTTTATAGTGTAATTCAATTCTGATATCCATTTTCTTCAGGGCTCTAAACACTTCTGGCACTTCAGTCATGCTTTCTGATGTTGATGTTATGAAACAGAATAAAGATGACTTATCTGTTAGTGGCTGATTTAATTCTGGTCAGGAATTAAGCTTTAGAAAAGAGAGAAGGCAGAAGAGGAATAAAGGGCTCTGACACAAGCTTTGTTGAAAATTGCCAGTAGCTAAAGAGACCATAGTCTCCTGCTTCTCTTCCTCCAGGTTGCCCTCAGAGGGGCACGTGTGTTTACATCTCAGCGTGTCCCGTTCACACTCCAGTGCCTCCCCACAAGACTTCTAGGAGTGTTTTCAGTTCACCTACCATTTGCAAAGGGAAATGCTCCTTTGCCTTCATGTGTACCTGACTCTTAGGATGGGCCGGGTCCTAACGATTGCTGTCTTGAAGTTCTTATTAAATGCCTGCTGATATCAGAGACTTCGGTGCTCTTATGGTTGTGGGGACATTTCGGTATTTTTGTCAAGTTGCAGTGTGGTTGACGTGGTGAGTTGGGGGCTAGGCTGTGAACATAACCTGCATTTGCCATGGATGTGATTTAACCTTAAAAAAATTTCTTTAGTGGCTGGTTCCCTCCCCCTCCCCCCCCCAAAAAAAAAAAAGATGTGAGGTATAATGTAACACAGCTAGAGTGAGTTTCCTCTTATCTGGCTTCACATGTTAACCCTGCAAATTAAATCTGAACTAAACATCTATAGATGTTTATAGACCATGGAAAGGAACAGGCAGTTGTGAAACATGCTTCATCCTGTCCTAATGTAGATGTTTAAGTGCCTACTGTCAATTTTTGTCCATCAGCTTTAGGGAAATGTAGATGTTTACCTCGGAGGTAGATAAGTACATTAGGCATCTGTGGGTGGATGTCTACATGAAACAAATGCTAGGATGTGATTTATGAGCATGTGTTTTATAATTCTCTGCAGAGCTTCAGTTTCATACCTAGCTTGCTTCTTTTCTGTTGCTGAATTTTTAGGATGCAAACAAAGAAAGTAGCAAGGCATCCAAGCCACACAAAGTAACCAAGGAACACAGAGAGAGGCCAAGAAAAGACTCTGAGAGCAAAAACTCCTCCAAAGACCTTGAAAGAGAACAAAACAAGCCTTTGAAGGACTCCTCCAGAAAACCAACTGAGAACAAACTGCCTAAGGAGGAGAAGGCACCTCCAAAAGCTGCTTTCAAGGAACCAAAACTGGCCGTGAAGGAGACCAAACTGGAGAACACTTCTCCAAAGGGTGGGCCACAGCCGGAGTTAAAGTCTTCCAGCAAGAGGCCCTCCAACGTGGAGTCACCAAAGCCTAGTGCCAAAAAACAAAAAAAGAGTAGCTCCAAAGGGGTAAAGAATATTCTAGGGACATCTCCCAGAACCTCGTCTTCCTCATATCCAGAGAAGAAACAAACCAAGGAGAAGATGAATGCCAAAGTGGAAAAGGTAAAATCGGAAAGTGAGGCCAAGGAGATCAAAAAGCCTGTGGAAATGGAGGAGTCGAATTCAGAGGATGAAACTTCTTTCAAGTCAGAGGTGAGTAGGGATTTGTCCTCTACCAGAATTTTAAAGCATGCTGTTTAAATCCCTGCATGAAAAAAAGATGTTCAGAAATATCCCCTCAGACAAGATAGAGAACCAGATTGGCAAATGCTTAGGCTGGGTTATATCTGAAATAAAACTCTTTGAAAATCCTATCTGCATTAATCGTTATTGCTACCTGGTTTGCCTCCTATTTCAGATATGCAGTTCTATTTAGATTTATCTGCAGGCAGAGTTATCAAAAAGTCGGAGTTTAAGGTTATGGTCTCGTTCATCCCTTGCAGTGACATTTATAGAGCTAGAGTGGGCACAGATACTCTTTCTACCTGCTTATGATAACATAATGTGTTTGAATGTGGTCTTAATTCAGAAAAGGAGGAAATGATTTTAGTTTTGTTTCTGAAGAAAGCAGTATTAAAATGTAAATAGAAAACCTTATTTCTGACATAGCCTGTAAGAAATGTGCTATTGGCTAAAGCTCAAAATACAACCACATGCCACTAAACCTTAATAAGTTGTGCTGTAAAACATAAAACAAATTATGTTATTGTACTACTATTTTTAAAAGCTGTCTAAATATTTTTTTCTTTTTTACAACTACGAACATTCCTCTATCCTCTGCTGTCTAAAAATCGTTTTCCAAAAGAAGGCAAAAAAAAAAATATTTAGGAGGGGAAAGACAATGACTTAAATCTAAACTCTCACTACTTTTTGCTTGTATATTTTATATTTGCTATAAAGAATCCATATACCTTCTAACAGTATTCACAGGATAATGTCACATGAATTTTTGAACTGCCTCCTACCAGCCACTTCTAGAAAGATTTGTCTTACTAGAATAAATCTTTTAGGGACAGTGTGTTATGATTTGATCAGCACCATGATACAGTAAGTAGTGATGTGTTTATTTCAGAAAGGATTTTTTTTTTTTTTTCCAAAAGATTCCTGGTAGAAGAGCTTATGGGGAAGTGTTAATTCAAGTTACTCTGCAAAGATTTTTTTTTTCCCCAGATTGATTAAATGTGTTGCTTGTGCATTAGAGGCAGCTCCTCTCCACTTTTATACCTGAAGTGCATCAGTGTGAGGCAAGCCCCTCATTTCTGTACCAGATACGTGGCCCTTGCTGCGAGCTCTGTGCTCTGCTGATCTCTGAAGTCCTGAGCGTCTTGTACTTGGTTTTTTTTTTTTTTTGGTGTCATCCCTCCGCTGGCACTCACCATGCAGCTGTAAGCTGATAGTGCTGTTTAGACTGTTCCATGAAACCACAAACTCTGGTTGTGGATCCACAGCGTCTGCTGCAGCCCTGTCCTGCCCCCACCATGCTTTGTATGCTTCGCTGTCCTCTCTTGCACCAGCTCTTGTGTCTGTTGGATGCCTGACAGAGGTATTTGAGTGCTAGCCCAGAAGGAGGGTAGGAATACTCAGTGTGATGGGGCGGGAACTGTGGCAGCTGCCAGTCAGATCAGCTTAGGTTTCTGTGGAACTTGAAGCTTAAGGGTATAACTGCATAATGCATTGGCATGGGCAGAGAAGGCTGTTTGAGTTCCTTTTCCACCCTGGGGGGTTATTTTTGCTCCCAGCGCTGCAGTTTGCTGCTCCATGGTTTGTACTGGTACAGCTGTTGTGGGGATGTGTGGTAAGCCACATCACTAAAGCGAACGAGCAGCTGGAGGTGGACCCGGGCCCGGAAACTCTTAAATCAGCTTTGCTGCTGCAGCCAACATATTGTGCAACATGCTCCGAGGCTGCAGCTCCGCGATTGCTTTGAGTTGACATCTTTGCAGGCTGCTGTTGAAAGGAACAGTCTTGCTCTCATTTGTGCTGCTGGCATGAGAGCTCGTGTGACTTTGCAACGGGCCAGAGGAGTTTCTTCTTCCATTTCAGCTTCTGCTGAAAGTTAGTTGTCCTTTCTTTCTTTTTTTTTTTCCTTTTTCCTTTTTTTTTTTTTTTTCTTCCCCCATCAAGCCCAGTTCCCTGAACTGGCCTCATGCTTGGCTGCCTAAATGCTAATGCTGACAAAAGGGAGAGGCTGAGATGTGAGGGCAGGATTGCTTTTTCCATTGTCGGCGTGTGCTTTTGTCATATCACAGTGACAGTAACTGCAGCCCGAGCATGCGGAGCATGTCCAGCCAGATGCCTCCTAAAGGGCTGAAATAGCTGACAGGGGTTAAGGGCAAAAGGAGAGACGGGGGTCTACACCACTTCCAACTTGTGTTTCTTAGGTCCTATTAAGTCATTTTAAGGGAACACCTGCTAGATTATCATCAGTGAAGTCTGTGGTGAGACACAAGAGCTGTGCTCCCTTATCTTGAAAATATTGCCCTTTATTTTCACGTTGCAATTTTTCTAAACAAACAGGGGCCTGCTGCAGCGTGCCAATAGATTAGACACTGGCATTGTTACATCATTTTCCTTTGCTACTGAATAATTCACAAGGGTTGTAATAGCCCTTTTTGATATTTTTCTCAGCGTTCTTACGGTTGAATAAATGAAACTTTCTAACGGTACTTGGGTGATAAATTATAGGGAAGGACGGTACTGGGATGAAAGTCCTGGTGCTGCTTTCACTTATTAATGTCCAAAGCTGCTGCCGTGCCGCCTCCTACCTCTTTACAACGTTTGTGCAGTAGTAACACTTTCTGTAACAAAGTTTATCGCTGAACAGGAACGTGTGATTTTTCTAGCACCAGGATTTGGTAGTGGAAGGAATAAGTGGATTCCCAGGCATGGTGCAGTGAAACCGAAATGCTAAATTTTCAGGGAATTACGTTAAAAAAAAGGCAAGGTGATATTACAGTACATGGAGAATCTTTAAACTAGATCCTGCTGAGTAACAAAACCCCCTTTAAGATTACAGTAATAGTCGCTGCTGCTTTTGGGGAGGAAATAGTTGATTTAGCCTTCACTGCCACCTCGCGGCCCTTTACGCTAAAGCATGGGGTTGCTGTGCAGGAGCTAGTTTTGATGTTAAAAACACACGTAGCACTAACACTTTGTTTCTGGATGCTGTTACTAGCAGTAGTTCGTTCTGAGTTGTTACTCATACTGTGTAGTATGCCGACTACCGACAGTGGAGGTGGTTTCACTGGAGCTTAGCTGGTTTCTGTTAGGTGTTTCGTACTAAACTCACTCAAATTGGTGTAGAAACAACTGTTTTGAGGGGGTAGTAATAAATTTAGAACTAAATTTGGAGTCGTTTGAGCTGGTTAGGATAGGCATCCTTCTCATGTTTAATGATCAGTACGAGATGTTCCGAGGGGAAGTTGGTGGGTTACAATAACTCAAAATTAAGTGGGCTTTGATAATTGTTCTAGGATGTATGCTAGTCCTCTTTCACCTTTCGAAGTAGGGGTTTTCCCACTTGGACGTTTTTCAGATGCTATATTTCATCACTTGAAGCTGTTTGAAACTAGTGGTGGGAGCTGTTGATGCTGCTGCCCAGGAGTGCTGAGCTACAGCGTGCCAGAGTGTTCATCGATGTTGTTTTTACCCACTTTACGTTTTGTGTGTTTTCTGTCATTCCAAGAACTGCATTCAGTGATGTATGATGTTGTAGAGCGCTCAGATGCTTCTGTCTCACTGTGCTTTGTGCTCTGCGATGGTTTTCTGGATTAGAAAGGTTAAGATTCTTTTTCTTTTTTTTTTTTCCCTTTTATGGGGGGTTAAGTCTGTCCAGTCCAGCCCTTCCAACTCCAGCTCCAGCTCTGACTCCAGCTCTGACTCTGATTTCGAGCCATCTCAGAACCACAGTCAAGGTGTGTTGCAAGAAATAAAATCTGTTTAAAATCTTCCTTGCATAAACTTAAAAGGTGCATGAGAATTAAGATTTATTTTCCCAGCACCACGTTTAAGGCTAATACCATTTCTTGTATGCAACCATGTGTTGCAGCTGTGATGCTTCAGCAAGAAAAGGCAATAATGTCCTGGTGTAATCATGAACGAGTATTTTTCTTGGTTTGGCAGTTAATTTACGAGAAGGGTATTTCTCTGGATTTGGTTCTTTCCCTGTTGATTTTGGTTTCTTCCTTGTGTTTGCTGCTGCTTGATCCACAGTGTCACCAGAATATTTTCTCCTCCAATCTCGTGTATGTTTTATTAAAAACTATAAACGTGGCATTCATCACTTTGCCAGTGTATAACAGCTTCTTTATCAGATTCCTCCACTGATAATCCAGAGAGATACACTGTGGCTAAGAGGAAATGTTCTAACCTTAGCAAATGCTTTGTTGCTACAAATACTGCCTCTTGAGTGACATTTAAAATAGTCCCTAAACGCATGAAAAATGTGTCCTTTTGTTTTCATTTCAGAAGAGTGGGAGGATCTGGGGGGAAGCCAGGGTGCCTTTACAGCAGTTGTAAAGTTTGTCAACTCTGCTTTAGTTCTGAGACTGGAATACCGTGTCTTTTAGCAATATCTTTGCAACATGAAAATACCAGTGACGCCTTATTGGGAAATCTTGATGTATCTTCATATTGACTGACCTGGTTTAGATCAGATAGCGTGGATGGAGCAATGCTGCCCGTGTCCTGGTGCTGAGTTGCTTTCTCCCCTCTGATCCCAGGCCCGCTGCGCTCCATGGTGGAAGATCTGCAGTCAGAGGAGTCAGATGATGACGACAGCTCCTCTGGAGAAGAGGCAGCAGTCAAAGCAAACCCAGTCAGCCGGGATTCCAGGTGGTAACAAATCAGGAAGAAAGATGTTTATTGTCTCTTTGCCCTCCACGTTTGTTATTTTTGTGTGCCCTCTGTTTGCGGGGAGGAATTGAAGTGATGGGGCTGTGTGTGAGAGGAAGGTGTGAGAGAAGGACGGGAGTGCTTAGTGTTGGGGGGGGGACGACATGGAGTCGATGAAAACAGCGAGGTGAGAACAGAACTGGATGAGGAGAAATCACCGGAGCTCAGAGAGCACCAGGGGGAAGTGATAGGTGTGGAGCTTGCAGGTGTTAGTGACTGAGCCCCTTAAAATAGTCACCTAATTGTCATCCTCAGATCTCTGCTGAGCTGAACGGTGTGGGACACCTTTGATCTGCAGAGATTAGAGGAGAGTGGTGGAGGCTGCCGGCATGTGGGCTCTTACTGCATGTCGCTGGTACAAAACGGAGAACTCCGAGTCTTTGCCGACAGTGCGTGCTGACAGTTGGTTACTTGACTCCTGTGGGACTTGGTTAACAGCTGTTTCCTGCTTTAGTCAATGGAAATGGTTGAATTTCATCCTTCTACCCTCAGGAAATGCTGTTGTAGCCAAAACCTGGCGTCTTGAGCTGAATATCTGGAGCCAAATGCTTGACCCAGATAGCAGCTGCGAATTTCAAATGATGCTTTTGTTAACCAAAAACAAACAAACAAAAAAATCTGTTGTTGCACTCTGTCCTTACCGACTAAATAGGAATGGAGAGACTCTGAAGGGTATTTAGATCTTTAGGGGATAGGTAATAAACAGTCTTTCAGGCTCATCAGAAGTAGGATACCTGGTACAATACATCTGTAGAGCCACAAGAACAAAGTCTCAAAGGTCACAGCAGAAACGCTAAATGCAGGGTTTGCCTGTTCTCAGTTGGAGGTGTGGGTAAGCCTCTCGTGCTTGGAGTGAATCCCCAAAATGAGCAGTGGCTGTTTGTGAAAATCAAGTGGTACTTGGCTCAGTTGTTCTGAGGGAACTTGTGCCTGAAAGAGCTGAACTGTGAGGTGTCGGCTAAAACTCCCTACTCTGCCTGCCCAGGGTGTGGAAAATGGCAAAGGCAACCTCAGCTGGGAAAGAAGGGATTCCTGGAAATTACCGACCGACTGTTTCTCCCAGACAATTTAGTGGTCTGTAATAAAGAAGAGAATTCCACTTAATTCTGTGTGGTTCATTTGACAGCTAAGTAAGCTTCCTGCTGCCTGGTGATGCTAATTCTCTGCTGCTTGGTTTTCAGACTGAGCCTTAGTGACAGCGACAGTGATAACAGTGCAGATTCCTGCCTGCCAAGTCGAGAGCCACCTCCTGGTCAGAAACTGCCCCCAGCAAATAATAAGGTATTGCATCCTACGTGCTCATACAGTGCTACTTTCCACCACTCTTGGCTCCTGCACTGTCTTCAGCCCATGGTGTTAGCTCTGACTTGCACCAAATTTTCCCTATTTCACTGTCCTCGTCCGACAGGTAATTTGTCTCTGTCCAGTGCTGTGCATCCAAGTCATTAAACCACCATGTTGTCTGAACTCATTTTGGTCCCTGCTGTTGCTTTCTTTTATCCTCAGGCATCTGGAAGAAAAAGCCCAGAGTCTTGTAACAAGCCGGAGAAGATCCTGAAGAAGGGAACTTACGACAAGGTATGTTTGAGGATTTGCCTATCAGAGAACTGTTGGATCCTCAGTAACATTTCTGTGTAGAGAACAACTGGAATCTGCCGAGCCTGTTCGCATTGTTCTGTCTCGGCAGGTTAAAAGCTTGAGTCTAATGAAAACCAGATGTGGAAAGGACAGACTTTGGAGAGTGACACTGCAGAAATTGTGTATATTAAATAGATGGACCCCCAGGTCGTTTCCATATGCAAAATGTTAAAATTGTTTTTATTTGTTTGCCCTTTGTCTGAACCAGTGGTCTGGCGGCTGCTGCAGTGGCAAGTGCCTCTTCATGAAAGGCAGCTTTCATCTGTCTTTGATCTTACAAATTAAAGATTGTTTGATGCTCTGTTTTGCTGGGTTAGTTGAAACCTTTGTTCAATGAAATTCCCTTCTTCCTTGCCTCCAAGGAAAGCAGAACAGTGTACGTGCTCCTACAGCACGGTAACTCGCAAGCAAAGGCCAAACCCCAACTAGTCCAGAAAGTTCTCTCACTGTGACTTTTTCCATAAAGAAATCAAGCAAACGGGAACTTAATATTTTTCCTTAATCATTAAGGTGATTACAATAATGAAAAGACTCCGTCTGTAGCTCTCACTTGTGTGTGTTAACGCTTTTTCAGCAGGGGAATATCGCAGAGGTTAATCACTTCATGTTAGGTCTAAGTGTGATCTTGGAGATATTGCATCCGAGTCTCCTGCTAGCTACGGAATCTTCCGCTGTTAACCGTAGCCGAGATGGCTTATCTGGGGCAAGGTTTGTAGGCAAGCGTATCTTTTATTAGAGTACTTAATACAGATAGAAGGGGATGCTCTTGAGACCCATCGAAGAAAGTGCCTGAAATACCGTCAGCTTTTCCAACTGTCCGAGGTTTTATAAAAGGTACCAGCTCTCCCAGCAAGCACAGCATTCAGCACTGCTTGGGTGTTTGGGAAAAGTGCTTTTCTCGGCGTGAATGTGCTGGAGAAGGGAATATCTCAGAAATTTGGGAGGGGGAGTGAGTTTGGGATTTTTTGGTTTTTTTTGGCTGTGGTACAATTACTTAAATGAGTTCAGTTTTGCTGACAGAGCGACGAACAACTCCGGGGCAGCTTTACAGATTAAGAATCTATCCCCTGTGAGCAATAGTGTGCCAACAGAAACTTGCCTTGTTGGCTACCTAAATAAAAAAAATTTAAAAATTAAAAAATAAAAACCAAACCACCCTTATATAGAAACAATTAACATGTTGAGCTTGTAAACAATCCTGCATTTCCCATTGTGGCATATGTAAAACTACCTGGGGATACAGTGCGCTCAGAGAATTTTTCCCTACCTAGACACAACTCCTTGTCCAGCAGATTGCTGGGATGTCGCTCGCTGACGCAGGTATTTTCAGATAATGAGTTGTTCGTTAGCACAGCCCGCTGACGAAGAGCTCGCACTCGGTGAACTTCCCCTTGCTGAGGTCCTGTGAGCTCAAAGATTCTGACCACTTCTTAAAGCTGGTTCCAGGTGGTTGTTTAAAGGTGTCGTAACTAGTCTTGCTGATGGTCTGCAGACCATCTGTATTTATGTGAAGTCTTTAGTCTCCCAGTACTCGATAAGGATGGAGGAGGCAGTAAAAAGACGTAGGGAAAAATTGGGAATAGGAATATGTCTGAAAGGGGCTCAAGTTCCTCTGATCCTCACTAGGAAAGTCACTTCGGCAGTCGTACAAGCATGCCACATATGTCACTATTTCTGTTCCTGCCTCCTTTACAGGCCTACACTGATGAATTAGTGGAGCTTCACAGGCGACTAATGGCACTACGAGAGCGCAATGTGCTACAGCAGGTAGAGATCATTTGTCAGCTTTCTGGCAAGCTGTTGTACTCTGGTAATCTTTGTGTCCAAGGGTCTCAGCCGGACCCCTGCGATGCTTGGCCTCTCACTTGCATCTCCTCCTGAGAGGGTCTGGTTTGCTTTGAAAGCAAAGATATGTAGAAAAAAAAAAAAAATCAGATGTGCATGCAATGTTTTTGTTGGAAAAGATACAGAAGTGTGATTTGTGCATCTTTTCCTCTGCCATCCTGGTAGCGGTCCCAAAGCTGGGCGCTCTCGGTCTGATTTAAAAGGAAAGAAATGTGCCCACATCGCTTTCCAGACTGAGCTAGTCAGGCACGCAGGAGCTGGTTTGCTTTTCTGGGAGAGGATTCCCTTTGTGTTGCGAGACGTTCTCATCTCCGAGGCTGTTTGGAAGGGATGAGGACAGGACTGGATGGGTTGCTCTGTATCTGCTGTGACCTTTCTGCTCTGCCTGATCTTTATGGGCTCTCTCTATGCATCCTTGTCTCCTTTCTGTACAGATTGTAAATCTCATTGAGGAAACCGGGCATTTTAACGTTACCAACACAACCTTTGACTTTGACCTCTTCTCCTTGGATGAGACGACCGTCCGTAAGCTGCAGAGCTACTTGGAAGCGGTAGCGACATGACGCTTGGCCTTAGAAGCAGGCTGCTTTTGAAACCAGAAATCCCCTTTATTGGTACCAGGAAACGAACCCATGGAACTAGGCCTTCTTATTCTCTTGATTCACCCGAAGCACTGCCTTAGAGAACAGCCATGCTCTACGAATGCACAGCCAGCTGCACTTTTCTTGTAGGCTTCAAACAAGCACCCATATTGCTGAGTCTGTCCTCCCTAGCTTCATAAGTACGCTTGGGCGCAGGGCCCGAGTAGAGCAAAAGACGTGCTGCACTTAGCTGCACAGTGTGACCTTTATGGTTTTCCTTCAAGAAACTTGTGTTTGAAGAGCACATTTTCAGGCGTCTCCCGAGATCTGAAGAAGCGTGGACGATGTTTTTCTTCACCAAAATCTCGGGACCAGCCTGCCCGCGGAGAGCTCTAGCGAGCCTCGTTTCCTCCAGCTCCGCGCAGAAGCGTTCACGCTGTGTAACACGATTGGCTTTTACAAAGCTAGCCGAGAGACTGACGACAGAGGAGGCTTCCCCGGGGTCCTGCTGGTCGTCTGCAGAGGAAAGTGGACAGATTCCAGTTTTGATCACTTGCGAGTTAGTTCTGCCGCCGCTGGGTACAGAGCGCTGCTGTCACTTGGCTCCCGATTCCTCCAGGGCGTCGTTCCACGCGCGGGACCTTCAGCTTCCTGCAGAGACAGTTCGTGCTCTTTGAAGAGGCCTCTAGAATCTGCTGTCTCCCGCTGGGGTTTTGAGATGTCTTGTTTGTTGATCTGAGCTCCTAAACAAAGTCTCACTCCTTTCAGTCTGCTTTAACTGTAATAGGACTACAAAACTGTAAGCTGTATATTTTATATATATATTATATATATATGTATGTACTGTATGTATAAGAAGGGCCTAGTTGGGTCTTATGATCTTAAGGGTGTGTTTTTCTGTTATGTTTTTTAATGGCTATGGCAGGGGAAGGGCGCTTAATAATTGACTTGTTTGTTAAAATGCCTCTTGTGGACAATTTTTAGTGTATGAAAGCCGAACAGCAATCTTCAAAGCGTTTTGTGCTCTGGAAGGGGCTCACCTGTCGTCTTCTCATTTGTCAGTGTTGAATAACTTTGCCAAAATACGTGATTGGTTTTGTTCTACGTTCTCAAAGAGGAATCTCCTACAGTGGCCCCTATAGTAGTGGCTGTACTTTGGGAAAACCAAAACAAGGGAGAATTTTATCTTTTGGGCACACCTGGAAAACACTGATGTAAAAACCAAGTGAAGTCAGGTTTTGTTTCATCCTCCCTCTCCCTCCCCGCTGCCTGTTCAAGAAATGGCAGGAAACAGTGAACACTAATGCAGAATCTTTCATGTATTTCTAGTTAAACTAGTCTTGACTTCCAAGTGTTGTCTCGATGGGTGTGAGGAAAAGTCCTGTAGCTTTCATCAAAAATGTATTATGCTCCTGTTCCCTAATTCCAGTATTTCTTTTTTTTTTTTTTTTTTTTTTTTTTTTTTAAATAGTAAATGTCAGTAATCAAAGCCTCAAGGCTTAATACGTACGCAGACCAAGACAACAGGAAAATACTTCTGACCCCTCTTTTGCCCTTTACTACAAAGGCCAAGGCCAAAGGAAAAGCTGCGTCCTGATCTCACCTCCAGCACAATTCAACTCACAGCAACTCTGAGAACCTTCAGACCATCAGCACTTGGCCGTGCCCTCAGCAACACGCCGAAGGACACTGAAAAGTAACAGAGTTCTGTCCAATTTCCTTGCAAAAACCATTATGGCTAGAAGTCAATTTTGGATATTTTTTTTTTTTCTCCTTTTTATAACAATGCAAGCTACTACACATCCTCGAAGACCTGAAGCAATGCTGACAGCAGCACTGCCACCTCCTTCCTAGAGTACAATAATCCATCCATGCTCTCAAGAGTGACACAAGAACAAACACTTTATCCACAAATACCTGTACATGGCATGTTCAGAACAGCATTCAGCCAGCCTATAGAGAATCTACACAGGAACTCGTTCATATGTAACTAGAAGGGGACACAAGATGAGGCCTGAAGTTGACCATTCTTTGTTTGCAGAGTCATTCCTCCTGTGGTCCCCGACGCTACCACATACCCCAAAAAACAACAACTCTGTAGAACAACTAAGTACTTGCAAGAAACCTTTTAGTAACAAATCAGCATGTGCACACAATGGAAAAGAACTATTGCTGGGGGAACAATTCTATTTCAGGTTTTCAAGGAGATTATAAACAGTCTAAAAAAACCCATGTGTAAAATACTTCTTATAAAAACCAAACAAAATCCCTATCAATGCTCATTAGACATCACGATTAAAGTCAGTTCCAGGACAGGACGATGGCCCAGCCGCGAGCCCCGGGCACTTCCAGCCGAGCTCAGAACAGCCGCCGCTCCTGTTCTCGGACCGGCTGGGAGCGGCGCGGCCGCTCGGATCTCAACAGGAGAAGGGGGCAGAGGGGAGGTGGCACCTCCGATCCCTCG